ACAGGCTACAAAGAAGAACTCAGCTCCTGTCCTGGAAACATGTCTGTCTTTCCTTTTCCATTACAGTCCACTCAGCAGCGATTAGAACCCAGAAATGTTGACTTGGAAATGTGCACTTTGGTTCTTTGGTATTTAAATCTCTCCAGATGCTACCTTGCATATGTTAGGAATCTTGCATCATGAACATAATGAGCAATAATCACCTCAATGGACGACATTTCAGAAGCTGCTCCACTGATGCTGCATCATTTTATGACATTTTGAACAACGTTGAAGCCAGATGTTGCTCTCGTTCTCCTCTCCAGGGGTCCAGTCTTGATGAGGTTTCAGACAATTTTGGGGTTATTTATGTGCTGAAACGTTGGACCTGGATTCCAAAATCAAGTTGTAAAATGATTCCAGTATCACCTGTGGTCCCCGAAACTGCTCATCATCCTCCACCATTAGGCAGTGTGTGGGTTGATTAATGCTAATTATGTTCATTATGGAAATCAACAGAATTAGCATATGTAGGTAATATATGCAAGTTAGCATCCTGCAGTTTCTAAATGCTGGTTAGTCATATTCTACGTTTCTAACATAAAACTTTGGATGTTCAACCTTTCAGGGCTGCACATGCTGTAAAAACAGATAATAAAACAAGTGTAATATTCAGCCGGGGCACCAAATAACTGCTGTAAAATAATGAAAAATAACCGTCTTAGAAAAACACAGCAGCTTACCATCATTAAAATGTTTAGTCTTAACTTTTAGCTTTTTACTGTATGTAATATGCAGTTACCTATTTCATTTTTTTTAAATAATTGACATGAATCTACTTTCACTTTGACATGAAAGAGTCTTTTTTTTGGTGGAAGTTCTCGTCCCAAAATTTAAATTGACGATGATTTAAACAATATATAGGGGGAATAAGTTTTATAGATATATAAACTATCTAACAAACAAATCTGCATAAAATTACAGAACCAACCCTTATTTTTCTGTTATTTGCCACTAATGGTACACGTTTACCAACTTAAACTTGAATTTAACAGTTAGATGTTTGTGAAATTAAATAAGATTGTAAATATGTGTTGTTTAAAGTCTTTTTTAAATTATTTTTTAGGAAAAAAATACTACTAGAACTAGTGATAGGTTTTGAGTATCATTCATGTTTAATTGATTTTTTTTGTATATTTTAAACATGGAAAAAAATCTGTAAAATAAAATAAAAATTCAAAAAATGCTTCAGTCACATTTTTTAGTTTTATTTTTTTACTGTACGTCTACAGGTTTCTCCCTTTTGGTAAATTACCGATAAATAAATGTCAAAATAAAAAGTATTAATCTACATGTTAAACCCTAAATAATATTCACATAATAATAACTTTTTTTTATTTTTTTAACATTATTTGGCTGTAGAATTACATTATTATTTGAAAAGAAAAAAGTGTATTAAAGATTAAAGAGTGGTAAATACTTTCTTAAGCTGTTACTTCACAGATTTTTCTTGTTTAATTACAGATAATATCTATTAAAATCACAAAGAGTATTAATTTATTTGTTAAACTTAACATAAAAAAACAAAAAAGTGGTCAAACCCACATCAAAAACCTGTTTTTGTCACAAATGGTAATTTGTTGTTTTACGATGTGTGATTGTAAAATTATACTATTATACTTAAATTCACCAAAAATATCATTATTTTACTGATATTTTCTTATATTTTCAGGTTATTAGTTTGCAACTATCACCTCTATAGATGACTTTTTTGTTTGTTTATTTGTTTGTACAGCTTTTATGATAATTTGCCCTTTCACAATGATTAAACACTAAATTAAACTATTTAACTGTATTAATTCAGCTAGAACTATCCTAATTTAACAGACAATTGTTGTTATTATCACTATTTTTCAACATTACAGTATTCCACCGTTTTCTAACATATTTTTTCCGACACCTTTGCTTCCAGATTTTCTTTTCTCTTGCACTGATTTCACTTTTCTTCTAACCTTCAGCTCTCCCTGCACACCTGGCTGGTTCCACTCGTGTATATTTCATATTTAAACATCTTTACCGTAGCTTTGAATTGCCTTTTTCTTCTGCCTGACAGTTTCTTTCTGCATCGCGCTGCGACGCTGCTTTTCTTTGAGCTCCTTCACATTCGATCGCTGCTTTTTCCTCTTTTCATGTGTCAGACGTCTCCTCATTACACACCTACTGTCAGATACCTGCAGAGGCCGTGGAGGCTGCTGCTGCTGCTGCTGCTGCTGTTGGGCCCAAATTGCATCAGAACCGCTGTTCGGAAAAAATGAAAATAAGCAGAGCCAAGTGTTTTCATTAACATCAGGAAGAGATAGTGGAGTCGAAGCAGCTCAGGTTTCCTCTAATGACTCGCGACTGCTGCAGACACTTTGCAGAGAGGAAGTGGCAATGTTAAGTTGTGATGTGTCTGCCAGCTTCACTTTGGCCTTAAAGGGCTCACAGTGATGATATTAGACGTTTTTTCATGTCCACAGCCAAGTTTATAAAGGTAAACAAATAACAAGCAGCGACACAATCCGTACAACGGTGCTGCTGCTGTCTCCGTTCAAGTCTGTTTGTGTTTGCATCTGTTTGCCCTTAAGTCTACGTTGGAATGGATCAAACCCTCCCAGGATCACTTCTGGATCATGTTTGAGATCTTGTTTAAATCTGAAATAGGGATATTTAAGGTGCATTTGTCTTGAATTACTTGCTGGTCTGGATTTGACACGTGTTGGTCTTGAGTTGAGACTTGTTTGTCTGATAGTGTTGCCTCAAGACTTGCTGTTCTTGATTTGGGATTTCAGGTAGGACCTGTTGGTCTTGGCATTGGGATGACGTCTTGGTCTTGACTTAGGATCTGTTGGACTTGGCTCAGGACTTGCTGAGCTTGACTTGTTGATCTTGACTTGGGATTTAAGTTGGCAATTGTAGGCCTTGGTTTGAGGAATAATTGGTCTTGACTCACGACTTGTTTAGTTTGACTAGTAGTTCTTGACTTGGTACTTTTTGGTCTTGACTTGGGATTTGCTGATCTTTGACTTGTTGGCCTTGACTATAGGTTCTTAACTTGGGACTTGTTGGCCTTAACTTGGGACTTGAAATTTTATGTTCAAACAAGCAAGTGGGACCAGAACACCATCAAGTCAAGATCAACAAATCCTGAATCAAGACCAACAAATCCTGAATCAAGACCAACAAATCCTGAGTTAATATCAATGAGTAAAAATCTGAAAGTTCTGAGTCCAGACCAGCAGGTCCTCAGTCACATCCACACCTCACTAAATATGTGCAAATTTATTAACTTCCAGGACAGAAATCTGAACATCACACAAGTCTGGCTTCAAAATTCTTGTTTGATGTTGTCGAAATATTAGAGTCAAACGTTTTTAAAGAAGGAATTATGGATGTTTTCTTTCCACTAGGATGAAAGTCTGAAGTGTCACAGAGGAAAAAAACATCCCAAAATCTCAAACAACAAAATGATTGGTACTCATATTTTTCTTTGCTTGGGATCAATTTCTGTTGCTGATGTTATTTAGTCGTCAGATCTGTAATATTGGTGAAATAATTCTGCTGGAAAATCCAATTTGTCCTGACTGTGGTGTGATTGATTTTAACAGACAGATGATGATCTCTGCTCTGGATGCAGAATCATATGAAGCTCTCACACATTTATTTCTTGTCTTTTCAGTCAGAGTCAATAGGATTTCATCAGAAGCCTCCCTGCGCTGTACAATGAGAGTGTAAAAACAGAAGTGTGGGCGCTAACAGCGTTCTTCTGCATCAGAGAATACGATAACCGTTACTCCTTTCATCACTAAGAGGGAAACATCTTTAGTATGTTTAAATAATTAGTACCAAACCTCTTAGCTTTCATCTCAACTGAATCCACCTACAACAACTTTCTCACTAGTGATTCTGAAACGATGTTGCCAGCTCTCTGGCAACATCTTTGAAATATTAAACCTTGAAGCTCAGGTATTTATCTCGTATTCAGACAGATGTCTTTACATTAGATTCATCTCACCTTTGATTTTGAAAAAATAAAAAATAGATACTGCAGAAAGCGCAAAAACATGATATTTCTATACAGAGCAAAAATTAAAACATCTAGTTTACATCCAGGTAATTACCTGGGATGTTTCCTGGATGTCTTCCAGGTACATATCTACCAAGGTTACAAGGTTAAGAGCTTGTATTCTGATCATTCTGCTCAAGTTTATAAGTTTATTTTTGGGGTTTACTGCAATATGTTTACACGTCTTACATCTCTGAGCGCTGGCAGAGAGACAAACATTCCTTGACTGAAAGTCAAACTAGCTGCTAGCAGGAGTTATGCTAATGTTTTACATGGCAACATAAAACAAGAAATGAAAGAAAAGGCTGAACTTCAGATGAGTTAAATTAAATTAAAGGTTAACTAAACCAAACTTAAATAAACTAAAAATAAACTTTATTTTTCAAGTAAAGTTAAGCTAAACCAAACCAAGCCAAACTTAAGTAAACTAAAACTAAACCGAGGATAAAGTAAACTAAACTGAGATGAAGCTAGACTAAACCAAACCAAACTTAACCTAAGATGAACTAAACAGAAACTAAAGCTAAGCTAAACTGAAGTAAAGTTAAGCTAAAGTTAAGCTAATCTCAACTAAACTAAACTGGAGTAAAGCAACACTTAGCCAAACAGAAGTTGACATTAAAGTTAAACTAAATTAAACCAAACTAAACTTAACTTTAAGATAAACTGAAACTGAAGTTAAACTAAACTAATGTGAAGCTCAACTAAACGTCAGCTAATCTAAGCTAAACCCAACTTAAACTATTCAAAAGCTAAAGTTAAACTAAATTAAAGTGACGGTAAACCAAACTTCAGCAAAGATAAACTAAACAGGAACTAAGGTTAAACTTAACTGTACTGCTACTTAACTAAACCTAAGTTAATCTAAACCAAAGTTAATCCAAACTTCATGTCTGTTTTTGTGTTTTCAGACTCTATGACGGTGCAGAGGGGAAAGAAGCTCAGCATCTCCATCCAGGAACACATGGCCATAGACGTCTGCCCCGGACCAATCAGACCAATCCGTCAGATCTCCGCCTACTTCCCCCGACTCTCCCCCACCTCCCCCACCCCGCTGTCCCCCAACCCGGCCTTGTCCCCTCCAGCCCTCAGCCCGGGCTGTGGAGCCTCGGGGATGGGAGGCCCCCAGCTGCTGTCCCCTCTGCTGGCTGGGGGTCGGCCGGGCGGCGGCGGGTCGCTGTCCTTCACCAGCAGCATCGATACGTCGGTGGAGATCCACAGCTCCGACAGTGACGACTGCAGTGAGCCTCTGTCTGTGTGTGTCTGTGTGTGTTTGTGTGTGTTTATTTTGTGTCTCTTTTTGTGTGTCCTTGTGATCATTTTGTGTCTCTTTGTAGTAGTTTTGTGTCTGTTTTTGGTCATTTTGTGTTTCTTTCTGGTTATTTTGCACCATATTATGTCTGTTTGGGGTTGTTTTGTGTCTCTTTGTGGTTGTGTTGTATCTCTTTAAAGACACCTGACCTCCTCAGAAGTTAATTTTTCCTCGGTGTCATAGAGATTCAGTGGTAATTTTCAGTATATATAGATTTATGACAAACAAAACCTGCTAACAGATCATTTGGCTGCTTTTAAAGGCACCAATTTGATCAAACCTGAACAAATGAAGGAGTAACAGCAGCGCAGTAATGAGCTGACACGGTGCTGCTCTACCGATCACCTTCATCTCTACCTCATGTTGTCTTGTTTTTTTACGTCCTCGTTTACAGCCTCTTAAATCTGTTTTGTATCTCTTGGCAGTGGCTTTATGTCTCTTTGCGAGTGTTTTGTGTGTCGTTCTTATCAATTAGTTTCTTTTTGTTGGGTGGTGGAAAGAGCACTTTGTGGAGCTCCTTAATTAATGCATCCTCTGCTGAGGAAGGAGAGCCTGAAGACTCGGGGGGAATCTTCACCTGTATCCATAGAAGAGGTCGCTGAGGTAGTCAAGAAACTCCTCTATGGCAAAGGTGTGGACGGGATTCACCTCGAGATGCTAAAGGTTCTGGCAATGTTGGACTGTCATGGCATGTGGCCATCGGGTATGGTGCCTATGGAGTGGTAGACCGGGGTGGTGGTTCCCATTTTTAAAAAGGGGGTGGTGCTGCTGGACTGATTGTTGAACCTCAGATTCAGGAGGAGCAATGTGGATTCCGTTCTGACCATGGAATAGTGGACCAGGTCTTAACCCTTATGGAGCTACTGAGGGGCTCATGAAAGTTGGACCGGCCAGTTAGCATGTGTTTTGTGAATTTGGAAAAGGCCAACAACCATGTCCCTGGATGGGTACTGTGGGAGTACGGGGGGATGAGGGCGTTGTTTCGAGCCATTCAGTCAACCAATGTGAGAGCTGTGTTCGTATTCTTGGCACAAAGTCAAGCTCCAAGCGAAGGAGTTTCAGTATTTCAGGATCTTGTTCACGAGTGAGGGGGAAATGGAGCTTAAGACGAACAAGTGAGTTGGTGCAGAATCAGCAGTAATGCAGGAGTGGTACCAGACAGACGGGTTGAAGAGGGAGCTGAGCCGAAAGGCGAAGCTCTTGATTGAGTAGTCGATCTCCGTTCCAGCCTTCACCTATGGTCATGAGCTCTGAGTAGTGACTGAAGTGAGTTTTCTCTGTGGGGTGGCTGGACTCAGCCTTAGAGGGAGCTCAGAGTAGAGTCCCTGCTCCTTCGTGTGGAAAGGAGCCAGATGAGGTGGTTTGGACGTCTGATTCAGATGCCTCCTGGGAGACTTCCTTTGGAGGGTTTACGAGCACATCCAAC